GAAAGGATTGGTGTTTTTTTTTTTTTTTTTTTTGTGTTTGTGTGTGTAGAAGATTGAGTTTGGTTGTGTGTTTGAGTGGATTAGAACTTGAGAGAAGTGGTTGTTTGTGAAGCGGGGCAGGCAGCAATCTCATTAATCATCATAGTAATCAGTTATTACAGCAATATAGTTCGATATAACTATGGTGTGGAAAGCACAGGCCATCATTTTGACAATGATTCGACGATTATCTTGGACTTTTGCCAATTTTGCAGCTAGTGTTCTGTTTATTAGTATTATCTTCAGGAGCGTTTTCCCTCCGTCAGAAATGGCAGCCATCTCTCCAGAGCTTTGCATCGCGTTGACGTCAACCATCTCTCCACAGCTGTTGCGACCGTCGGATCGGTCGGATCGAGCGGCACAGCATTCCGCCGCAGTCATGGCAACATCCACGAACGTTCCCCGAATGTTCAACTCCAGCTTCTTCCCCCTTGGATCGTCCGGGGGCAATGGCCGCCGTCGCCTCCCTCTCATGAAGTCCGGACTTGATGAGAGGCGGCCACTCTCTCGAACGCTAAACGACAGATCGTGTGAGGCGGCCACGTCAGCAGCATCTGGTCGCAGGTACCGAGAGACTGCCACGTCAGCAGCAGTAGGCTCCTCTGCGGTTGAAGGGCGGGGATGGATCGGTTGTGGAGCGTCGGTACCGGAAGGTATACCGACTGATGGCTCTGGGTGGGGGGGGCAGAGGGGAAGGAGGAGGAGGAGAAGAGGGAGGAGGAAGATGGTGGTGGGGGATCTTCAATGGGAGGGGAGCAGCAGCCTGGTCGCCGCGGCGACTACTACCGGTAGCAGCCGCCTCTTCTGCTCTTCATGGCGTGCGGGGGGGGTAGCAGCTTCGGATCCCTTGGTAATGAGCAGGAGAGATTGGAGTTCATCTGGGAGGGGAGAGAGGAGAAGATCCCAGCGAGACATGTGGCACGCATGCAGCTGCCTGTCTGACGTGTCACTTTCTCCTGGGCGCTCTTCTCTCTCTCTCTCCTGCTCTGTCCCCCCCTGGGCCATCACAGCAGCTCTGATCAGACAGGGAGCTTGCCTGCCGGCCAGGCAAGCTGCTGCCGAGGTAGTAGTGCCACGTGCTCCTGCTACTACCACTGCTGCTGCTGCGGCGGCGCCACCTCCCTATGCCTCGAAACAAGCCGAGGTGGTGCCACGTGTCACTACTGCCAGGGGAGCTGCCGCTGCCGCGGTGGTGCCACGTGTCGCTGCTACTACTACTGGTGCTGCTGCTGCGGCTGTGGTGGTGCCACGTGTCACTACTGCCAAGGGAGCTCCCCCTGCCGAGGTGGTGCCACGTTTCGCTGCTACTATTACTCCTGCTGCTGCGGCGGCTGTGGTGGTGCCACGTGTCACTACTGCCAAGGGATCTCCCCCTGCCGAGGTGGTGCCACGTGTAGCTGCTACTGCAACTGCTACTGCTGCTTCGGCTGGAGGCATTGGACACGTGGGTGTGTTTGAGGAAGGCGCCACGTTGAACGCTACAGATGATGGCTCGTTGAGATTGCTGTTCGTCTCTCTTGAGTACAAGGCAGCTACTTTCAGTGGCAATGGTGTCTACGCCCAATCTTTGGTGCGATCCTTATCTGCCCTTGGCCACAAGGTCTTTGTGATTAGCGCCCGGCCATCATTGGCTGATGAGAGGGTTTCGACTGCCGGTGAGCTTAAGAGCCGCCGGGTCTCCACTGTTGATGACGGACGGAAGGTAATCATCGGTGATGATGATGGTGGTCAGGGCGGTGATGTATCAAGGGAACGACCTCAACTGTCCTCTGCTAGCCATTACAGTAGTGGGGAAGAAGAAGAAGAAGAAGAAGAAGAAGAAGAAGAAGAAGAAGAAGAAGAAGAAGAAGTTGAGGAGGGAAGCTATGTCGTCGGACGGAAGGTAGATGAGGGGAAGAATGAGAGCAAAGCGGTGGAGGAGGAGGTTGATGGATTGAAGGTCAACCGTGCGTTGACCAGTGGTCAAGAAGGGGGAGGTCAACGACGGGCAAGCGTGGGGAGGGGGGACCAGCGGAAGGAGGCGGGAAAAGTGGAATGGCAGTTGATGGAGATTGACGTCCCGGTGTGGGGTAGATTAGATAGGGGGAGCGGATGGGCAGAGTTTGCCGCAGGTGTTGCAGAGGCGCCTGTGGCTCAGGCTGTGGCCGACTTTTCCCCTCATTTTGCTCTGGCTGTTGATTGGACGGGTGTTGAGGCTTCCCGCCAATTGTTTGGGTCCCCCACTTTCCTATCAGCAGCAGACCTCATTGGAGGGCCCCTCACTCCTCCCATGATATACCTCAGTTTCAGAGTCTTTTCCTTTTCCGATTTTGAAGAAGAGGTCCCGCCCGCAGCTTCTCTCTGTTCCAGTTCCAGTTCCAGTTCCAGTTCCAGTTCCAGTTCCAGTTCCAAACTGGAATCTGGCCTTGTTTCTGGTCCTACTGTCAGTTCCAACCCCAGTTCCAGTTCCAGACCGGAATCTGGCCTTGTTGCTGGTCCTACTGTCAGTTCCAACCCCAGTTCCAACCCCAGTTCCAGTTCCAGTTCCAGTTCCAGATCGGAATCCGGCCTTGTTTCTGGTGCTACTGTCAGTTCTAGGTCCAGTTCCAACCCCAGTTCCAACCCCAGTTCCAACCCCAGTTCCAAACCCAGTTCCGACCCCAGTTCTGGTTCCGATTCCAAGGCTGGATCGGGTTCTCCCTCTGGTTCTAGTTCTATGTCCCGGTCCCGTTCCGGTTCTAGTTTGGATCCCAAGGATGATCCTTGTGGACAACTTAGTGACCGAGAGTTCTACTGGAACATGGAACAAAACGCAGTCCGAATGTCGGCTGCCGTCATAGCACCCAGTGACCATGATGCCAGGTTTCTCCAAGAGGTCATGGGAGCGAGAGAGATGGAGAAGGACGACTCACAAGGGAGCGACGACTCTGTGCCCAGGGGTGAGGTTTTGTCAGCCGCATTACTTCCTCCGCTGAGGGAAGAGATCCGATTGTGTGCAGTGGAGTGGTGGAGGGCTTGGGGCCCAAAGATGTCAGTTGAAAAACTCTTGGAGGGGCCATCATTGAACCCTCAGCCTGAGGCGGTAGACTCGGTAGTGGACGTCGGACCTTCTCGAGCAGAACCAGAGGATAAACCTCTGCGTGCTGAGCCAGAGGATATCGCGGTCAGAAGGAATTCAGCAGCAGCAGGAGCCACAACACTGGGGTCGGGGCTCAGTTCTGTCAGTTCAACCGTAGAAAAACCCTCCGCCAGTGGGGACGGTGTAGCAGTGCCGCTGCCAAGTTCTTCCGTCAGATCGGACGCAAATGATCCAACGACGACTTCACCAGTTGGATCCATGACTGAACCACGTGGTTCAATGACTGCAGGCGAAGGGTTGCGAATTGTACCAGATGGGTTGCGTGCTGGATCGCGAGTGCTGAGTGTTCCATCTTCTGTCTGGGCAAGAGGACGTCGCTACTTAACCTGCTGTGTGAGGATATCCCCGGAAAAAAATACGGATATCTTTGTCGATATTGTGGATAAGACAAAGGACTTCCTTGTTAGAGAAGGGGTTACACCCTTGCTCGCCGGCGGAGGAAATAGCCCTTATGCGAAAGAGGTGAGAGAGAGGCTCCTTCGTACGGCACCCAATGCTGTGGTCCTCGATCGCTTCTTACAACCTGAAGAGTTGACTGACGTCTTCAAGGAGACGCTTCTGAACTTTCACCCAAGCCTCTACGACTCTTATGCGATGACCATCGTCGAGGCGGCAGCGTTTGGCGCCCCAACTTTGGTCAATTTTCAATCTGACAGTTGCGTATCGGGAGAGGGAGAGCAAAACCGACAAAGCTTTCAGGATTACCGGGGGCGTCCTTCGGACAGAAGGCAGAACGGAGGAAAGGAAAAGGGAGGAAAGGAGAAGGGAGGAAGAAAGGCTTGGGTTGGGGCAACTGAGTTGCTTAGGCCGCAGGAGGGATTAATCATTGGTGTAGATATGAGCAAAGGAATAGAAACAGTTGCGGGTGCTGTCGAGGAGGCCCTTTCGGACCGAGATCGGCTAGCACAGGTTGGCTTGCAAGCAGCAATCAAGAGTTTGGAATGGAGCGAAGCCGCCAATGCTCGGGCCCTTGTGGATATCCTTAAACGTGTCACGAGATGAATGTTGTACGATTAGGAGGGAGAAGTGCCTGCCATTTGATGATTAGGAGGGAGAAGTGGCTGCCATTCTTTGTAGGGGTGTCGATCGTGGTGGTGGTGATGATGGTAGTGGAAAATGTAAGATCCCATTGTTGTTTCCCTCCCCCCCCTTTTTTTTTTTCACCTAGCACTTCTAGCAGGTAGTTTCTTTTCATTTTCGTGCCGAAGTGTAGATAGTTTCAACACTTAGCTCATGGTGCAGTTATTTATGTAGTACGTTTATGGTTTTGGGAAAAATATATAATTTCTTAAATTTGATATGTTTTCAAGAAAATATTAAATTGAACCTTAAATAGTAGTAGTAAATCATATGCAATAACCTTTCATTACCTTTCAATTGTCATGAACAGATGGCAGTAGCCGCATGACCCATGGCCCACATGGGTAGTTAGTATGGGCTCAGGAATGCATGTGAGCAGACAGCTTAAAACCACCAGTACTTGGCCCAGCTATCGGCCGCGGAAAAAAAAAGAGTAGAAACGTTTCTAGTTGGATGAATTTGGGCGCTCCTGTAGTGGCCCGTACGTTTCCTAACATTGTGGCTTGCATACAGGCACGGCTTTAGGAAGTACTGGTCGTTTAAGCAAGTAACAAGATTGAAGCAGAAGGAAGAGTATTTTGGCATTACTTGCGCTTGAACTCAGGTGAATAAGATTTGCTCACGCAGGATCATAGTGAAAGTCTCTTCTGAATCATGCTATCCTTGCTGTTTCTCTAGGTTTCTTTCTTGGTCTCCATGATCTGAAGAAACTCTGCGCAAAACTTGACAGTCGGATAAAACTTTGCCCGGCCTTTTCCTGCTGGGACAATTGGGCGTGACGTCTGTCTACCATAGGAAAAGGTGGTTTAATCCCCGTCTCTCTTTCCTTCTGCCTAATCGCCGCAGAGCTTTGGTCCCCAATCACTATTGCTCCTCCGACCACCATGGCCGGGAATCGCCCCAAGGAATGATAGTTCCCTTGCGTTCACAGATCTGAAGTACCTCCTCCATCTCCAGCCCGCTCCTCGATGTCCACCGTAGTCAATCGTACCACAATACTCCCTTCAACCACTACTATCTTTCCCGCTGTTTGGAAAACGGGAAAATATCCTACTCCTACAAAAGTGGAGGCCGGGCCCGATGACGGCAGCTGTTGATGAATCTCATCGATTTGGGGCCCCAACGGCGAACCATGTGAGCCACTCCTGAAAATCCGCTGATTCGGTTGGATGCCCAGATGATCTCAGCTTCAGCTGCACCTGGAAGCTATGGAGTAAAAGGATCAAGAAAGAGATCTCCAAAGTGGGAGATCTGTGGGAAGAGCTTACAGGCTTATGGAAGACTCCTGAACAGCTGAAACCAAGTGTCTACCCCGTGAACGTGACTGGTGACCGGCTGGTCATATGCCCCTGTGCCCGTGAACGCCGTTCATGGTGACCGGCCAAGCCATGACAGCGCGTTTTTTTTTTTTAAACGGCTCACCCCTCCACCGTCGCCACAAGCCCTACGACGTAATGACATAAAAAGATAACCTATAAAAAAACAAACAAAAATGCTCATGCTGGCTGGTTCCCTGTTTTTTTTTTGTTTTTTTTTAATTAAAAAAATATATGGGCGGGTACCCTCCGATGACCTCCACCCTCCTACAAAAAAAAAGGGGTAACTTCAGTAGATTCGCAAAACCGAGTTATAATTGCACTATGGGGCAAGATACAACTTGCAATTGCACTTTGGGCACCCTACCTGGCCAGAAAGCTGGGTTGTATACATTGCCCGAATTGCAATTCGAAACTGTATCTTGGCCCATAGTGCAATTATAACTCGTTTTTGTGACTCCCGCGTAGTTTCCCCCCAAAAAACACCCTTCCTGCTCCCCATGTTGACCGTGTCCGGAAGCCGGTCACGAAAATCTTGACCGGTGACCGGAGGCCCCCCCGTTCATGAATGGGGTTATGACACTGGCTGAAACCAAGTTTGGGTCTGCTGCAGCTTCAAGCAGAACACTTGGATGAGATACTGCAGGCAATCCCAGTGGGATGGAAGGAAATCCTCAGTTCGTCCCAGCCGAATCATCCTCGGCTCCAAGGACCTTGCGAGGTCCTTTGGGGCCCGAGGATCCGTGTTTCACGGAGAGGATAGGGCATGCACGTAGAGAGACGTTACAACCGAGAATTGGAATCGTGGCGGCACCCTATTGGCTGAAAGCCTGAAGCACAACTTTTTTTCTATTTTTTTCCTTTTATTTTTCTGACATTGCTCTAAAACCGATGCTCTGAGGATGAGTGTAACAACGACGACAAAAACCCTAAACTTTTCTGAGGATTCATCCTCGGAGCCCGAGGATGCCCCGAGGAGTGTCTAACGGCGCCCTTACTATCTGAAATCCGAAATGTACCTTCGGAAATCACCCTATTGTTGTCAGATGGCACCCTCCAGATTCACCATACAATGGAGGTCGGTCGATGGAGGTTGGCGTTCTACTGTGAATTTGTATGGTGCACCTGGAGTTGGGCCTGACAAATTGCTGTCTTGTAGTGCTGTTAGGGTGTTTTGTAGTGAACTCGGGAATTGGAGACTTGTATAGCAGATAGTACCTGGAGCTACGCATGAACTCGGGAATTGGAGACTTGTATAGCAGATAATAAGCGGAGCGACGCCGGGTTTCATACATTTTTTCACGCTCTGACAGCTATACGGTAACGATACAAAATTGTGTAGAGCGGACAGTAGTGGAGCGAGACCCTATCCTGCACACTCGGTTTTGGTTTGGTCACAGTAGACAACAGGTCGTGTAGAGTGACTCGGAGGAGGGAGTGTGAGTGTGATTTTGTCAATTGGGCTCCGTTTGAACTTGTGATTTTGTCAATTGGGCTCCGTTTGAACTTGTGATTTTGTCAATTGGGCTCCGTTTGAACTTGTGATTTTGTAAATTGGGCTCCGTTTGAACCCGGGCGGGCGGGCGGGCGGGGTTCGGGGTTCCAGCAACTACCATAGTCACCCCGGTCATTATCACTGCATCTGGACTGAAAGTTGGGACAAATGCAGCTAGAATGACCGGGTGTTCAATTCGGGTGAAGCCCGGTAGGAATTTAGATTTTCCGGGAACCCGTCCAGCAGGGCCCGAGGGAAGCAGGATATGATGTATGGGGGAAGAGAGAGGAACGGACTATCTGCCGCCAGCGCCCCCCTGGCAGCAGAACCAGTCCTCATCCCCGGCCTTACTATTAAGATCCAGCCTGACTGGGACACTGCTGCGAGACTGGGACATTACTTGGAGACTGTGCAGCAAAACTCTTGGATGCCTCAGCAGCAGACATGTGATCTGTGTATACTAACGACCACTCAATTTAGGCTTACCGTAGGCAGCCAGGCAGGCAAGCAACTCTGACAATTATGTAGCTCAACTTCCCTATTTCCCTACTTTGTAGGTGAGTCGTGCAGCTGACTGTCATCACAATCATATGTCTTATCAAGTCAACAGCTACAATGTTGAGGGGGATAATCGGTAGAAAGCGCCCACGCCAAAACCTTTTCGGTTTTGGGTGCCCGAAACTCGGCCGTTTGGTACTACCGGCCCAATGACTTCCATCTGGGGTACTACAGGCCCACGCGTCTCTCCAAGGGCCCTACCAGATCATGAATCTGGCACATCACAGCGCCGGATTCATTTTGATGTGAAAGAGGCCAAGTGTGCTACGGCTGGAGTATAGAATGAGGCCCACGTACGATATTTTGAAAAAGAAGGGCCCCACCAATTCATGCATCTGACGCAAAAACAGCGTCCAATTCTTGAACCGGTAAAAACAGGCCCACTGTGATATGGCCACGGCGCGAAGGCGCCTTTCACCCAGGCTGAAAACGTTCGGGCCGGTAGTACCAAACGGCCGAGTTTTGGGCGGCCAAAACCGAAAAGGTTTTGGCGTGGGCTCTTTCTACCAATTATCCCATGTTCAGGGCCACTGGACCCGCTTTCCAGCAGGTGCTGCTCCCCACCAATGGATGGAGCCTCCCTGGGAATGCTAGAGGTGCCTGCCCTTACCAGCAACCCTAGCATCCACTCGGCTCATTCCTTATTAAAAAGAAGAAGAAGAAAGAAGAAGAAGAAGAAGAAGAAGAAGAAGAAGAAGCTACCCAATTATAGGAAAGAGACTTCTTTTAGAGAGAAGCTTACCATAGCCAAAATAGGACTTAGTAGAGAAATGTCTTAGAGTAGCTGGGCCCGGTGGTCCTTTTGTTTGGCTTTTCGGCCCGTGTGTCTGTGCTCTTATCACTCTCCCAAGTGTCGCCCTCTCCAGAAGTTCACGAAAAAAAAAAAAGAAAAGAGAGTTTCTGTGGGGACTAAATTTTTGTGGTTTGAGAGGCGCTTCTTTTTTCTTTTTTTCTTTCCCCTCCCCCCCCCCCAACTGGGTAACCTTTTCATTGCAAAACATTGAAACGAGGCCGGGGACCTCACAACTCAACCCGGAGTACCGACAGCATCAGCATGCTTAGCTTACAGGCTTTCGTCCGCGGAAGAACCCAGTTACAGGTTTTCCAATCGTTCCACCTTCTACTTTCAATTTATACCATCAATCTTAAACCACCAGCACTCCCTAAAGTCATGCCCGTCACCTGCAGCACTTTCTTCTCCTCTATGACCTTTCTCGTCCTTTTTGGGACTGGTGGAGAGGAGGCTCTGTACCTCTCCCGGGAGCCCGAAATGGTTGGGCTGATCGCTTTGTTCTTATGGGCACAGCCTCCTGGACGCAGAACTGCAGAAACAGTTTTCGATATGCCGAAGAAACAGTTAGAGGAGCAGTGATTTGGACTGGCTGACAGATCGCTCAAACCTCGAACAAAGGGGGCTACTGCTCCCTTGGTGCCAGCGATGTCAGAGCCTTTTTCCCTTCTACAAAAAGGCGGAGACAATTGAGCATATTTTTATGCAATGTCCGATAGCGCAGTTCACATGGAGAAGGTGGGACCGCATCTGGCGAAAAATGGTACCAGACATCCCCTGGCCCTGGACATGGCAGGCTATTGGCCGCCAGCAGCAACAGCCACGACATTTGTAAAAAATATGTACAGACTTGGAAGGAGGGTTGTGATTTGGGCACTTTGGTGGCAAAGGTGCATTCTGGCCATGGAAAAAGTACGGGTGGAGGAGCCGGAGATTGAGGAACAGATTCAACAGCAGATCCAGCTGGAACTTACGCAGAGAAGGTCGAACACAAAGTCACAGCTAGACCTTCTTAAACAAACAGGAGACATCAGGGGACAAGCTTCTGCACAGATTGGATAGGAGGGGAAAGAGAGGGCTGGATAGCAAAAGTAGAGTGGAGCGGGGACAGAAGAGAAGAA